ATTGATTAATTATGTAAACAAATTATTTAAAAATTAAATATAAATAAAAAAAAAAATATATAAAAAATTTTTTTTCTACTAATATTATTAAAATGGGATTTTGGAATAAAATTTTTACTTCAATTTCACTCATATTCACAGGATATGAAATAGGCAAAACAATTGAAAATAAGAATAATAATATTGCAAACAATAATATGTCAAATATAAGTTATTTAGAAATGATATTATCAGTAACTGTAATAATAATAATAATATCATTTATCGTTAAGCAAATTTATAAAAAATTAAAACGTAACCTTGTTAGACAACAGGTACAAATATGAGTAAGAAAATATAATGGCCACATGGCAAAAAATTTATCAAAATATATTAGTCGAAAAAGAAAATTTTAATAAAGCATATAAATGCTTAAATAAAACTATAAAAATCAAGAAAGACACTGTAAACAAGCATTTACAAACACTTTTCTCCACACTTGAATCAATACGAAGTATACTAAACGTATACAACGATAAGTTTTCAAAAGAACACAAAGAAACTGGTTTAGAAATTTTCTGGCATTTAAGAGACAAATTGATAAAAATATTATCACAATACAATATTGATATGTCAATACCACATTCTATATCAACACCAATACCAACACCAGTCACCCACATTACGGAAAATTCAAACACTGAATCTGATAACACAAGAAGAACCATGTCTGATTTCAATTTAGAAGTAGCTACAAAGGCTATTCCCAGCTTCTCAGGAAATCACAGAGATCTAGAACCTTTCATAAAAATATTCGAATTATTTACAATGGTCTCACGCCTACAGGCAAAAGTTCACTTATTGATTTTATACTTTATGTAAAATTATCGCAAATAGTACGAACAAACATAACTGCGATTCAACAGCCCACAACACTAGAAAAATTAAAAAACCTGTTATCAAGTAAATATAAAACAACAACCACTATACCGAAACTACAAAACCAACTAGCCAACTTAACGCAGAGAAATCTAAACATTTCTAACTACAAAAATAAAATTCTCTATTTAATATCCGAGCTAAATAAACTTCAAATAGCACAAATTGGCCCTAATGCCACACTTGAACAAAAAACACTTATCACTCAGCTAAATGAACAATATAGCTTAACCGTATTTAAAAATGGTTTAAATGACCAATTTAAACAAACTATTTTTTCTGCACTCCCAAAATCTTTTGACACAGCCGTAGACCTAGCCCTAGAACTTGAACAAATTAATGATAACAATAACGCAAGGGTTATGTTTATCTCTAATAATAAACGATATAATAATCGCAATAACTACAACACTAATGACCATAGAAGGTACCCCAACAATAACACTTTCAGAAATAACAACAATTCAGGAAACAATAACAATTTCAGCAGGACAAATAATAATAATTTTAGAAACAACAACAGTAATAACAACTTTTACAATAATAGTACTATACAAAGACCAAACAACTACAACAACCGAAACAATTTTAGACCAACCAACAATAATAACTACAGGCCCAATAATAACAGACAAGGACCACAATATAACAGAAACGGTCGTAAAATAAACTTCCTACAATTTCAGGGAAACGTAGACACCCCGGGGGACAACAATTAACTTCCTCCGGGTATTTGCAAAATTCAAATGTAAACAAGATATATGTTATTACACAGAATTTAACGAATTTTATCACAATTTATAATATACAATTCAACAAACCAATGACATTTCTAATAGACACAGGAGCCGACATATCCATATGCAAAAACCCATTCAGTAATGAATTTGACTACAATAGTAATAACAAAAGCAAATTAACCGGTATCACAAAAGACGAAATCATTTCAGTAGGCACAGCTGAGCTAACTTTTCGAATAGGCAAAGATAGTACCAGCATTAATTTCCATTTAGTCACAGATGATTTCCCCACTTCAACCGATGGAATTTTAGGCAGAGATTTTCTCATCAAACATTTATGCAAAATTGACTACGAAACATTCACATTAACTGCAATAATTAACGATAAGGAAAATACATTAACGATAGATACACAGTTACAATCAAATGGAATTTTAGAAATACCGCCCAGAACAGAAGTTATAGTACCGATAAATTTGAAACTAAACGAAGATAGCATAATTTTAAATCAGGAAATAGAACAAGGAGTATTCCTAGCTAATTCTATAGCACCCGCAAAAGGAAATTGCCACATAAAAATTATGAACGTAAACAATCATACAGCGCATATAAAACAAATAAAATGCATAACAGAGAATTTAGCAGATCACAATATTATGACTTTTTTCCATAATTTTGTACAACGCACAGTGATCTTCCAAGGTCTTTGGCGATTTGTCTCATTCCAACTCCTTCAATAACCTTTCCGCCAATAAACCCTTTCTCGTAAGTAGTGAGACTCTTACCACGACCCATTTTCTCTTCAAAAACTGTTTAATAATTTAATTATTAAAATAAATCAAATTTTAACACAAACGGAACACTCACTTGACCAAACAATGCAAAAATTGCAACTGACCTTATCATTTTGTCGCAGCAATATTTAGCTTTTTTTTCTTTTTTGATATATTTAAAACTAACGGGACTTGTTTCCTCATTATATTAGAATTTATTTGTTGCATTCTCTCTATCGAACAATAAAATCCACAAGATCCAAAGAGTAATCACTCAAATTGAGTTCCACAAAGAAAAAACAAACTGACCTTATCTTTTTGTCGCATACCTTATAGTTACATATTAGCATTGATGCTAATATTCCTCTACTTATTTACCCCACTGTACCCAAAAATTTAACTAATAAACTTCATAATTTATTAGGGTCACTCATTTCACAAAATTCAAGAATCTATACAGTATCCAAGTATAGTAATATTTCATACTTTAGCATTTTTTTTGCTACACTTAACATTCCAATAAAATATAAACAAAACCCTAATAAACGCACTTGGGACAGACAGTAGCCACAATAGGAAACGCTACTATAAACATTCAAGAAGATACACGGATCTATCTATCGCGTGATCATCTTCTTAAGAATTCATGACACACATACAGTCAAAAGATGAACTGTACTATTTCTGCTGATCATAGCATAATTTCAAGCAGAGAGCTTGAGAGATGACGCTATGTAAATAGCATTACATTTTTTCGTTGTCATGACAATAACAGAGGACGCTTCTGTTACAATTTTAAGTAACATTAAAACTTTATGCTAAAGTTCTGTTAGAACAAAACTTTAAGCTCTCGTCCATACAAAATCAAAAGCTTCAACTTAACAGAGTTGAGAGCTTGATTTTTGACACTGTTATTGGGGGTATAAAACCCAGGATCACTTATGTTAAATTCAGTTTTTGTTCAGGATTACAATTGACTCAAAATCGGTTTCCGTAAATTGAGAGTTGTTAAAGATTACAATCTTCTCTATCGGTTTCAAAGTTATTTTTTTAAAAATTTTATAAAATTAAAAGTTATTTAAAAGTTAGTGAAAAGATTGAAAAATAAAGTTATTAAAAATTTACTTAAAATTTATAAAAATCAAAGTTATTAAAAATTTACTTAAAATTTATGAAAAATAAAGTTATTAAAAATTTACTTAAAATTTATGAAAATAAAGTTATTAAAAATTTACTTAAAATTTATGAAAATCAAAGTTATTAAAAATTTACTTAAAATTTATGAAAATCAAAGTTATTAAAAAATTTACTTAAAATTTATGAAAATCAAAGTTATTAAAAAAATTTATGAAAATCAAAGTTATCTAAAATTTTACTTAAAAAAAAGTTATGAAATAAGAGTTATTAAAATTTATGTTTAAAATTGTGAAGTATAAATAAAAAAAATTATTTAACATAACAGTTATTAAAATTTATGAAAAG